TGTGTGTGTGTGTGTGTGTGTGTGTGTGTGTGTGTGTGTGTGTGTGTGTGTTTTGCAAGTGCTGTAAATTGCTTACTGCAAAAAGACAAGACAAACAAAAATATACTAGTCTGGGCACGGGTAGGAGAAGGAGATTAAAAAACAGCTGCCTTTCTTCGGAGCGGAGATGTGCCCCCCCACCCCCACCCCTTACCGCACGCACACACCCTTACCTGGGAGGACATATTTATATGATTTAGTGGTAGCCTTCTGTCCATACATTAAGTACGGAGGATAAAATTGGTTTGAATTTCATTCAGAATTCAAGATTTCTGTCAGATTTACCACTTTTTTGTTGTTGTTGCGTATGCTACTCTCTAGTAACAACCCTCTAACCTTCGGCACTTATATGACCTACTTGTGTTGCAAGTGCCTTAAAACTCTTACTAAAACTTACATTCACTCTCACAGTCAGAGTAGGTGGTTCTGTATCGCTGGGCAGTCTGAGACTCTTGTTGTAGAGCAGAGGTCGCCCGTTTTGTAGTGTTATGGGTCATGGTTTGTCTCAGGGCTTTGCATACTATAGACGTAGTAGTATTGTGTTCAATTCTCACTATGGGAACGATATTTTATCGAGTGTCTTTACCATGCTTCTGGGATGAAGTATCCCGCACTGCCTTGCGGGTGACTGGAGGACGCCACTGGTTGGTCCCACTCCTTTATTTTCCCTCTTTTTCCCCCCTGTCTGTCTACTTTACTTTTTCCCTGCTGTAAATGGCATTTTTTTGTGTCGATGTGCTTTTCTTTAACTCAAACAAACCACTCTGCCTTAGTTCGTCTTAATAGGCAGAGACAAAGCAGCCCACTTTTTAAATTATCAGATGTATGTCATTGGGGACATGGGACATCCACATCATTAGAACAGGCTTGGATATTTAAAAAAAGGTGAATTGTTGGGCGAGGAGGGGGGGGGGGGTGTTAAAACGATCAGGTACAATAATATGTAAAATATATGATGTGATTTAGTAAGAGTGAACTCGTACTTATTTAGACCACACTGGTGCTCTTGTTACTTCACTCATGCACACAATGGTTGTGAAATGCACAGAGCAGAGCATTCTTTTTAGCGTGGATATAATATGTGCTATATAAATGCAACTGTTATTGTTATTTTTGTTATATAAGTACAGGGTCACAGTCACGCGCTAATACGAAAGTGTTAGTGTTACTGGACACAGGCGGGTCATCACTCCAGCCTACCATCTTGGGGCACCACGTCTCCCCTATCGTCGTCATCTTCATAATCTCCGAACTCGCCTGAGGGAAGGAAATTGTACTCTTCATAGTGGTTGTACGGAAATAGGTGCACAATACTGCGTGCGGCATATTACATATTATATTATACATGTGTGGGTGGTTGGCGGGTGCTCTGGTGTGGTTTTTGCTCCTTCTTTCCTATCAAACAGCTATCGTCCTTATCTCTATTCTTTTTTGTGTGTGTGTTACTCTCTTGTAACACCTCTAATCGTCGGCGTTTATCGTAGTTCATGCGATCTTATTGTGTTGCAAGTGCCGTAAAATTCTTTATCAAAACTAACATGTGCATGCTGGGAGTGAGATGGAGCGGACCTCCCTGGTTTGAAACCCCAATTGAGTGTTTTGGGAAGTTCAGGTTCTTTCTCGCCATTAGGCTGGGTTTTACGTGGGAAAGACAAATTCGGAGGTCCTGCCTCTTGAATTGAATAACGTCAGCGTTGAAAGGAACGTTAAAAGCATACCAGTGGGTTGAAGGGGTACATTTGTTGTACTTTCTATTTAGGCTTTTTTTGATATGGGTTAAACGTGCATCTAAACCGCCTATAGTCGAGGAGAAAAGTCGTCCTCTTAGACTGGCGATCCTGTTGGATAATGTCATTTTAAAAACAAACAAACAAACAACAACATAAAAAAACAACAACCAAAAACCATCAACAACAAAACAAGCAACTAAAAAAACAAACAACCAAAGCAAAAAAGCAAAAACCAAAAAAAATCCGTAAGGGTCGAAGTGAAAACTGGTCCATGAACAGGTGATTGTCTTGGACAGGATGTGGCCGTGGGAGCAGGTTCGATCGCACTCGCATAACTTTACTGTAAATAGATGACACACACACGCGCGCGCGCACACACACACACACACACACAAACACACACGCACACATTCACACACTCACACACTCACTCGCACACTCACATACTCACTCACTCACTCACTCACTCACTCTCATACACA